AGTCTATACATTTTTAAAACTGAAGATAACGGGCCTGGTCTACTCATTTCATTACCATGTGCTTTACTAAGTTGTAAATAACATACATATCAACTAACATAAGACCTGAGAACAGGATTACAATGTCAAGCATGTTTCACATACACTCATGCTACACTTTATAAACACAAAGAATAAATGTATTAAAATTCTTATTCATAAAAGCAAGTCAAGAAGGTAGCTATAAGTTTAATTTCTATTTTTCCCCTTCAAATTGGATTTAATATTTGAAGTCAGCAAAAACTCCAAGATATTAGATCTTGTTTACTGTACTTATACATCTAAATGGCATACAGAGACAACCCTAGAAGATTTATTACAGGTTGTAAATATGTCACTAATGCAGAATTACTGGATAGCACACACAGAGCTGGTGCCAAAAAAGCTTTTAGCTTTGCTGCTGAACTGGATTCTTTACTGCTGAGAAGATGAGTTAATGGAGGAATTGAAAAGGTAGGAAGAAATTTCCCCATCTTTGCTGTAAATCAACTGGAATATACTTTTACGAATTGTGTAAGAGCTTTTTTGTTTGCTTTTTGGTTCTTTCTTTCTAAGTAGCCCTAGAGATGAATAGAATTTTAAGACTTTATAGAAAAAGTAATGTGAAAGTTGTAAATAATTACTTAAATCACAGCATTTTCCCTCTAATTCTGATCTCCCTATTAGTGTGATAATGGCAGTATGACTAAAACTCAATTATACCACAGCAGATACAGAAATACAAATAAATCGATTTCTATTTGAGGAAGAAGCATAAAAATTTGCTTCATGTTAATTAATAGATATGAAAAACATTACCATTGAAATCTACCTGATGAATTTACATCCATGCTCAGGTGCCAAGGAACTCAGAAAGTAACCAACTGTGACTAATAATAATTAGATATATAGAGATTACAGACGCATGCGTTATTTGCATTAAAATGAGTTTTTATGGGCTGGAGAGATGGCTCAGCATTTAAGAACACTGGTTGTTCTTGCAGAAGACCCAGGTTCGAATCCCAGCACCCACATGGCAGCTAACAACTGTCCTTAACTCCAGTCCCAGAGGATCCGAGAGCCTCTTCTGACCTCCGCAAGCATGGCACGACATGGGTGCACTTACCTACATGCAGGCAATACACACATACACATAAAATAAAAATAACAAATAAAATTTTTAAAAAATAGGCTACTTAAACTAATTTTAAAAAAAAATTTTCAATGAGTTTTTATGTATGAAACAGTATATTCTAAAATGAAATGGTGATCTTTTTTCAAGGTTAAAACTTCATTAAATTTTATGTCTTATAGGGTTTATACTGAGTACAATAATGTATAATTGTATTAATTCAACACTGTGAACCTAAAAATTACAGCCAATTTTGAAAGAGATGCATCTTTGCTCTGGAAACTGTTATTGACTATGTCAATGCTGTTGTAATGAAATGCTTCTACTAATTATGTGGTTATTAGATAAATTTTTAAAAATAAAAAAATAAATAAGAATAAATCACTAACATCTTACCAGTTCTTGCTTTACTGGATGTTCTTTAGGATTAACTCCTTGAGTTGCCAAATAAACTACAAGAGAAAGAATTCATAGAATAAAATACATATATTAATAAGAGCATTATAATGAAAGAAAGCCAAGTTATTCAAAAAAGGAAAGTTGCACTGATGATTAATTCAATTTCAAATGGTTTAACTTCTTTGTAATATTTACTTTATGCTGGCTCAGGAGCACCCAGTATTCTAATATGAAAGAAATAAACATCTGACCATTAAAACTGCTATAAAGTATAATTGTATGTAAATTGCTAGCACTTACAAACAGGTCATCTTTGATAAAGTAATATACTCTCTAATTAACTCTAAAGTAACATACATACCCCAAAACATTGAATTTAATGTGTATGCAGAAACTAAATCCACTTTTGCTTGTTCAAGTGGGTCCAACTAGTAAAACAGAAAGAGAAAAGAAAAATAATATACACACACTATGAGTACCATCATATATTTTACATTTCCCAAACACAATGTATCAACAACACATTTTTTCATTTCCTATAATCCAATATCAAAATGATCTGGAAATAAGTAATTTGCACAAAAATGTTTCCTTAACTACTCATTTTTACTAACAAATTTTCAGTTCAGGGTTATCATTTTTGGTTAGACAAGGAATGTCTATTGTCCAAAAAAAGTTATTCTCAATTAATTTAATTTCAAAAGTTACAATCTGGACTTTTATGTCAAAATTATTGAATCTAAGTACTATACATAATGCATTTATGAGTAAAAAGCAGAACAAAATGCTTAGGCAATGCCAAAGACAGAAGAACCATAATGAGATTTATTTTAGGCTGTCAAAGTCAATTTACTGGTTTTGTCCAATAAAAGTTTCCAGAAACCCTGACAACGTCATTGTAATACTTAAAAGGTCAAAGACAGAGTCTGTCAAAAAAGAACACTATGCATGCCCATTTCTCAAAATCAAGTTAAAATAAAAATATAGCTGGCAGGAGGGCTAGGCTGGAGAGATGGCTCAGTGTTTAAGAGCACTAGCTGCTCTCGCAGAGGACCCAGGTTCGATTCCCAGCACCCACATAGCAGCTAACAACCATCCTAACTCCAGTTCCAGGGGACTTCAATGCCTTCTTCTGACCTCTGTGGGCATTGTATAACATGGGTGCACTTACATACACACAGGTAGTATACTCATACACATGAAATAAAAATAATTTTAAAAATATACGTTCTAGGAAGTATTTCTTTTTTTTTTTTTAAGGAACTGTATTTTTTTAATTTTTTTTTACTTTTTAGAAGAAGCATTTCATTACAGCTTTAACATACTCAATAACAATTTCCAGAGCAAAGATACATCTCTTTCAAAAGTGGCTATAAAATTTTTAGGTTCACAGATGAATTAATTAAGTTATACAATATTGAACTCAGTATAAACCCTGTAAGACATAAAATTGAATGAGTTTTTAACCTTTAAAAAAGATCTCCATTTCATTTTAAAATACACTGTTTCTTACAGAAAGTCTTACTGTTTTTATTAATAACACTTAGATGTTGGTGCATGCATCTCTAATCTGTATGTATCTGATTATTACTAGTCATAATCAGTTGCACTCGGATCCTTGGAACCCCAAGAGGCCTGAGGATAGTAGTGCCAGAAGTATTTCTTAATGCTGGAGTTTTGTAGGGTTTTTTCCCCCTAAACACACTCAAACATTAATAAAGACACTTAAATTGTTAATCTGCCATTTCTTCCAGGTTTCAGAAAAGATCTATCTTATAAAATTCATTTTTAGGAAGTTGGATGTGGTGGCTCACGCCTTTAACCCCAGCACTGGGGGAAGCAGAGATCAAGACAAGTCTGGCCAGTTCTAGGCTGGCTGGGGCTACAGAAAGACCTTGTCTCAAAAAACAACAAAAGTAATTTTTAGGAAGCACATTCTTATACCTTCTGCAACAACTCATTTCTAGAAACAGACATCATGGTCTTCAGCATGTCATCCACAGCACCAAGGGAGCTCTCCAGGGCTGACAAAGACTCATGAATTTCTACTGGGTAGTCATCATTAATTTCTTCACCTGCCATTGTAACCAACTGGAAAAAAAAAAAAATCTCAGAATTCATACTGGAGACAGAACTTTACAAAGAAAATGAAAATTACATTTACTCTGAGTTGAAATGTGGAGATAGCTAAGCAAATCTTAGCACACAATTCTAGAACTACATTCCAACTTAAAATGCCTGGGAGAAAGAGAGAAAAACCTACCCAAGTCTATTAATGCTATACATATCAAGCTCTTGACACTTTCAAAGTTCTTAAAACGTGATTACAAGCATACTTATTGTCAATATTCATCCAGGATCTGTGGCACATAAACTTGGGAAGTAGAGGCAGGCAGATTCAGAGTCCCAAGTCACTGTCCACTATAGGCAAGTTCAAGGCCAGTCTGGGCTATATGAGACCCTATCTCAGAAATCAAAATAAATGAATACACAGACAGGCAGACAGATAAATGGGAAAAAATTAAAACGTTCTGCTGAAGGTAAAGATTAAGAAAAACTATTAATAAAGTCAGATAAATACATCCTCTACTATCTATAAAGAAAAAGCTGACTAGATTCCAGTGGATGAATTCAGTGCAATTTGCACTGAAGAACATTGGGTACAAATACTTGATTAGACAGGACTTAACATGTATGGCGGAATACATAAGGCCTGGTCCAGGGGTGGGGAAGGGGGGGGCTGGGAGAGCAGGGGCGGGGAAGGGGGGTTGAATTTGATTAGAAACTGTTGTATGAAAGGTACAAAAGCTCAATAAAAAAATTTCTTAATCTTGTAGTACAGTTTATTTAGCCCTTTAAAATGTAGGTGTTGATATAACAGTTTAAACTAAAAAAAAAAAAACACACAGAAATCTTGACATGAAAAATCTTTATCATTTATGTCTAAAATTATTTTCCTATCCCATACACATATTTATATTCTTTAAGCATCCTGAAAATAGCTGAATTGGCGGGGGGCGGAGCTAATAGAAGTGGAGCAGGCTTTCAGTGTTGCTTGATCACTGACTTGGTCACCTTGGATTAATCACTAAATCTCTCTGGTCCTCAAACTCTTCATTCATGAAAAAGGCAATGGGCCTTACAATGGTCTGTAAAGTAAGGCTCATAGTTCTAAATAGTATTCTAAATATTTTAGGTTTTCAAAGTACTACCTGAATGTATAGTCACAGTACTATATGAGAGAAGAAATTTTTTTCTTCTCAAAAGCATCAAGCTGGGCATAGTGGCACATGCCTTTAATCCCTGCAGAGGCAGGCTGGTCAACATAGTGAGCTCCAGGCCAGCTGAGGCTACATGGAGACCCCGTCTCAAAAAGACAAAAAAAAAAAAAAAAAAAAAAAAAAAAACACCACATTGCCTGGCAGTCAGTAACATGTTTTGAATGCAAATAAACTACAATCAAAATACTAAATACAGGGGCTGGAGAGATAGACAGCTCTGCAGTTAAGAGCACATACTGCTCTTGCAGAAGATCCAAGCTGTTTCCAGCACCCACACTGGGCAGCTTACAACCAACTGTTAACTCCAGAGTCAGAGGACTCAATGCCCATTTCTGGCATCTGAGGGCACTGCACTTATGTACAAACCCACACACATATACACACAATTAAAATGTTTAAAAACAGAAAAGATGGTTTGTGTAGGGCATCAAGGAAATACATGCTGGAGCTTGTATCTACAAGCTCCACTTTCTTCTCTGTCAAACAAACCTCAGTTCTGCTCGAAAGGCTTTAGACTTTAACTGAGTCAGGACCACTCAAATGATCTAGGATAATTTCCGTACTTACAGTTAACTGCTTATGGGCTCTAATTACACCCGCAAAACACCTTCATAGCAACACAACAATTTGTGTTTGAGTATCTGTGGAGTATAGTCCAGGCAAGTTGACACATTGAAAAGAGAGCACATTTCTTTAAGCCTCTAGAACTACTGCCAGGAAACACATTCCTGGCATCAAAAGTCATTACACTTAAGAGTATTTTCCTGTAACAGTCTTGTAATTCTTGATTCCCAAGTCAAGTTCCCCAGTAATAAAACTAAACCTCAAGGTCTAGCTAACAAATATAGAAGAAATTACAACTATTTTCTTAAATCGCCATTTTACAACCCCTAACAAAATTAGAGATCCAAGCAATAATCAGTGACAGGCAAAAGGATGGTGGGGAGGTTTTCAATGGAGAAATGACCCTTGGAACAACCCGAACCCACATCACTGAAGGCAGAAGAAGCATAAGCAATAACCTCCTGATACAAGGTAGTACGACCCACGAAGCACCACCTACAGAGCATTTACAAAAACAAAACAAAGCCAAATCTGAATCTGAGTTTTTAGAGCAAACATCCACTTTATAGAAAAACAGCAGGTTAAAAACAACAAGAAGCAACTGCAGAAAGCAAACACACCTGGACTAAGCAATACTCTGTGGAGGACACTTACTACTGCCTTTTCTGTTGTAAGTCAACATGAAAGAGAAAAGGGAGGGAAGGTAGGAAAAGCTGAAGAGACGGGAGACAAAGCAAGCAAATGAAATGTGAAGACCTCGTTGGGATCTTGATTCTCATAAAGTATCAAAAGATAATGGGCTCCTGCCGTGAGGCCTCTCTTGGGGTAAGTCTACCGCGCAGCCCTCCACGCCTTGACTACCCCAGCCGCACTCACCCTTCCATCTCTCCCGCTGTTCTCTACTCCAAGCTTGGGCCCTATGCCATTCCTAGTCTTGGGGCCCCAGACACCTGGGGAGCCAGTGCCACTTCCTGACCCTTTTCACCCGGACTGGCTTGGTGCCTTCCTTGGGCCCCAGGAGTACTGCCTCTGGACCTGGCCTCACCCTCACCTCTCTCTGCTTCCCTGGACCTGCACCACCAGCTAACTCTCCCAACCTGCTCTCTTTTCCTCAGGCCTCTTGGCCAGGTGTATCGTGCGGCCGTCTGAGCCTTGACTCCCTGAGGCTCATTCA